CAACAGAGTCTGTTATATGGTTTATTTTGTGTCTGGTCCATAACTTCTTCATAGATCAAGGGATTTTGAAAATACTTGGCACAAATAGTCACAATAATAAGATGATATGTCATGCGCAACATCTATGTTCCTACCTCAAAGGTCAAGGTCACACTTAGAGGTCAAAGACTAAATAGTCTGTTATAGGGTATATTTTATGTCCAGTCCATAGCTTATTCATAGATAAAGGGATTTTAAAAATACTTTTCACAAATGACTACGATAATAAGACAATATGTCAGGCGCAACATTGGCCCCTACCTCCAAGGTCAAAGATTAACATAGTCTGATATATGGTATAATTTGTGTCTGATCTATAACTTCTTCATAGTTCAAGGGATTTTGAAAATACTTGGCACAAATAGTTACAATAATAAGACAATATGTCATGCACAACACTTGCACCCCTACCTCCAAGGTCAAGGTCACACTTAGAGGTCAAAGACAGACGTGATAGGTTTTTAAATTCCGTGTTTCCTTTTATTTCTGTAATAAATTTATTGTAGCATTTGCAGATCTAGCATTGATCATAAGTTTGGACTGAAAGTCTTGAGATCCATACCTCAGTCTTTTGAAATAGTACAATTTTATGCTCCGTATAAAACTTTCCTGAGGCAGGGGACGTTGGTAATTCTGTTACAAATTCTTGTGGTTACTTACATTTATACATGTAGTTGTAGTCTAAATATAAATCAGGCATATTTATTGAACTGATTTTGAGTTTTAATCAAAAACAATGAAACACTTGACAAACCTCTTCTTTTTCTTCTAGTCTATTTCAAATGATATTTTAGCACCATAACAAGTTGTTATTTACAACTTTAGCATAAATTGAACAGAGGTGTGAGAGGCAACAAAATACTGTTGTGTTTTAAATGAAAGATGATTGCATTGTATTACACCTGCCTGGTATAAATAAGATATGACATGAATATGATATTTTGAAAATATTGTTTGTAAAAAGTATGTCAAATCATTAAAAAGTGTAAAAATGTAATGTTAACTAAAAACTGTAAAGTAAATAATAATTAATTTTTTGGCTGAATAATGTTTGCATTTTTTAATATGTAGTTAAAATCATTAAAATATGTCAATATACATAATATGTTATTTTTGATTGATAGTGTGTATTTAATCTATCTATGATGAATATATAAAAGTACTGGTACTGATACTTAATTACTTCTTAAAGCTGCAGTACCGTGCTAAAATCTAGTACTTGTACTGGTAATGGTACTGAATAACTTGGCAAGTACTGGTACTGGTACTTAAGTATTACACCCTTAGTACTGATGTAGCTCTGTACATCATGCACACATGGTAGGGTATATGAAAATGGGTATATGAAATAATAATCAAGTGCAATTAAAATGTAAAACAAGAACGTGTTGTTTAACACAAATTGCCCCAGCTCAGATTCTCGTCTGCTCAATTTAACCAATATTTCAATATGTTAACCCATTCACTCAGTTATGGACAAAAAATGACAAAAAATGTAAACACAATTAACTTGACAGGGTCATTGCGTTTTGTAATTGTGAGAAATGTATGTTGGCAAGACATTGCTATGACACTTGATGAAAGTGAAAAACATCTTTATCAAATATAAATAAATGCAAAATTTTACCTTGAACCCAGTGACTCAAAACTCCATCCAAATTTAAAGGACCACCTAAGGTATGTTCCTTGTAAATATGAGACATTGGTTAAAAAATGTACAAAGGCTGTATAAAGAATTGTAAAAAAAAAATCAACTGTTAGCACAAATGACATTGAAGAGGACCATGCAAGATATCTTCTTACCAAAAATGAAAGACATCTGTCCATAAATGTACCAAAGAGTAAAACTCAATTTTTAGCACTGGTGACTTTGATCCAACTGACCCCTAACTCAGTCCAAAGGATGCAAGTTATCATCCTACCAAATATGATAAACATCAGTCAAACTATAAAGGTTGTTTTAGCAAATGTGAAGAAATCTAATATTGACACCCTTGCCCTTGACCCACTGACCCCTAACTCTATCGCAAGGAAGAATACCGTGCAAGTTATCTTCCTACCAAATATGAGAGACACCATTTCAAAAATAAAGGCTAAATGGGCAAAGGTGTAAAAATCTATTTTAGCAATGGTGACCTTGACCTAACTGACCTTTAAGTCAATCCAAAGAAAGAAGACTACAAGTTATTATCCTACCAAATATAAAACAAAACAGACAAAAAAGACTAAGCAAATGTGTAGAAATCTATTATTGTCACCCTTGACACCCGCTGATGCCTTCCTCAATCAAAAGGAAGAATATCATGCAAGTTATCTTCCTACCAAATTTTATATGAAATACATCTGTCAATTAATAAAGGCTATATGGGCGAAAGTGTGAAAATTTACTTTTAGTACTGGTGATGTTGACTCAACTGTCCATCTAAAGAAAAATACCATGCATGTTATCTTCCTACTAGACATGAAATACATCTGTCATAAATAAAGACTGTATGGGCAAAAGTGTACAAACCTATATTTAGCAATGGTGACATTGAACCACTGATCCCTACCTCAGTTAAAAGGAAGAATACCAAGCATGTTATGTTCCTGTCAAATATGAAAGATGTATTTTTAGCACCAACTGACCCCTAACTCAATCCAAAAGAGAAGACCTCAATTTAATGTCCCTTCCAAATATAAAAGACATAGATCTGTCAATAGAATAAGGAAAGTACACCTGTAAAAGTGTAAAAATCTATTTCAACATTTGTGACCTTGACCAATTGACACCAAACTTAACCCAAAGGAAGAAGGCCTTTGCATGTCTGTATTAAATATAAATACATTAACCTAAATAAAGGCTGTATGAGGACGAATGTTTAATTTTATTTTTTACACCAGTGACCTTGACCCTAGAGATCATTAACTTCATAAAATGTTAAAGAAACATTAAAGCTATTTATCTACCTAATAAGAAAGATATCATTATATAAATTAAGTAATTAGGAAATATTTAAGATAAATCCAACTTGCCAAAATAGGTTAACAATACAAGGTGAAAATAGGGAAATAACTGGGAAAAATGGATGGCACAGTTATATGACTTAGCAATATACTTTGTATTGATAAGTAAGTGTTGAAGTCATTAGTATATAGACTTTGATATATCCAACTTGCCGATTTAGGATAACCATATTTATTTTCAAAGTGCTGAAAAGGCAAATAACTTGGTAAAAAATGAAGCCCTAGTTATGTTACTTCTTACATCTTTGCATTGTTGTATTTTCGCTTTTTCGCATTGTTACATTTTCGCATTGTTATATTTTTGCTTTTTCGCATTATTACATTTTCGCATTGTTGCATTTTTGCTTATTCGCATTGTTACATATTCGCATTTTCGCGTTCCGGTTGTACAATGCGCATGGAGCCATCAATTTATTATTATCATAATCATTATTATTAAGTTTTGTTATGTCTGATCACAAAAATACATTTTTATTGTGTCATAGTTTTGGGACCTTTCTGTTGAAAATGTGTCAGGGTTTAATCGTATACATATTTACATGCACAGTGTGTTAACTGGAGGTCGTTGACTTCAAACCACTTGCCTTTTACCGCCGTGGGTTCGAATCCCGACAGGGACTTTGGATTCTTTCATGTGAGGAAGCTTTCCAGCTAGCTTACGGAACGTCGGTGGTTCTACTCAGGTGCCCGTTCGTGACTGAAACAATGCACGGAAGGGCACCCGAGGTCTTCAAACACCAGTAAGGCTGGAACGTCGCGATATGACCTGTGATATGAACTGTGTGGATGTGACGTAAAACCCAAAACAACAACTAAAAAAACAAAACAAAACAAAAAAACTGGAGTGTAAGTATTTGTTACCCGCACTCCAGAGCATGCCCAGTGATTGGCTCATTTTTGCTAGGGATGACTTATCAAGAGAAAGCTATTCAGATACTCGTTCATTGGTTACCTTTTTCTGGGGTTTCCTATTGTGACATTGGATATTGGAGATTGGGTGTAACATGAGATCGAACGCCGCACATATCTTAAAATAGATATTCACTCTGAGAATGAGGTTTATTTTTACAGGAAAACATTTTATAATGTCTGATAATGCTAGTACTAGAGTTTTATAAGAAATACTTCATTTAATTACGTAGAGTGCATGTTGGATTAGATTTGAAAAAAGTTTGATAATTTAATTCAATAATAATAAAAAAAAACATATGAAAACATACGGTCACCATAGTTCGCGGTCTTCAGCCTTCTTTAGTGGCTTTTATTACATTTTGAAATTTATATAATTATATTTAAAATTATTTTTATCCATTAATTACATTATGTCATGTTGTCAGATGTTCCCCAGGGCTCCCTTGACGATCATTCTGTCTGCCATCTTCCCATGCACGAATATCGATCATTAAAAGGAGAACAATTTAAATTCATAAAAAAATCAGTAAGTATATTGTATTAAGATCATAATTATTGTACTATACTGTGCTTCTCTTAGTTCACGGTACTTAATGCTTTAAAACAAGAAGAGAGACAATAAAGTAATGGTACAAAAATGTCATAAGCTGTAACTTTTAGGTATTTTCAGATTGATGTCTCCATGCGCATGTTCAACCGGAACGCGAAAATGTAACAATGCCAAAACGTCACAATGCGAAAATGCAACAGTACGAAAACGTAACAATGCGAAAAAGTGAAAGCGAAAAATGGAATGCGAAAAATACGACAGATTTTATGTGTCGTATTTTCGCCATCCTCCTGTCGTATTTTCGCTTTTTTACCTCGATAAAGCGAAAACTCGAAGAGACGACTTAATCCAACTTTGTCGTTCCTTCGTGTTTTCGCAGTTTCGTATTTTGAGGCGAAGAAGCGAAAATACGTCATGGCGTAAATCAGCCACCAATGTTACTTTACTTGACAACAACGAAAACAAACACCATTTCTTTTATTTTCATTTGTAGACATGGATAGAAACACAGAACAGTATATTTGAAAGTGGACTTTGGTTTTGGACGGGGTTAAACTATCAAAGAAATACCTGGAAATGGGCGGATGGTTCTATAGCTGATATGAATCTTATGTAAGCGGAATGTCAAAAAAACTTTCAAGTTAATTCAGAATGTTCTTACATTATCCGACGAATAAAGCTCCCCGTCAGGAAATAGGTTAAAAACAAATCAACGTTGCATCATCATCATCCTTATTGTCATCAAAATCATAACAATTATCACCTCCATCGTCATCAACATCGTCATTTTATCATGTCCATGAACATCAAATTCATCACTATCACTTTCTTTATCCCGATCATCATAAAAATTACAATTTTTTCAATTATCATCAAAATTTAAATTATCGTCAAAATTTTAATTATCATCACCATCATCATCAGGTACATCGTAAAAGACATTATCATCGCCTTCACATGCATCAGCAAAATAAAAATTATCTGTATTATAAGATGTAATATAATGAACTGATAATTATATTGATGATGCAGTTGTATTGATGCTTGTGTATGTAAGACTTTTTCTAACGTATTGAATGGTATGCTGGATTATTTTGAGAGAGTTAATGTTACTCGTGTTGTTTCTTTTATTGTGCCTTTCGCCAACACAACATAAATTTTGTGTTTATTTACTAATATTTATATTATTAATAATCCAATTTCTAAATTTTCATCAAAATAAAGGTATGTAGACGTGCTGATTATGAACGATATATTACAACCCTATTTTATATAATGTACGTATTCTTATGACATATTTTTATTTTACCTTAGGTTTTCGTAGTAAAGAAAACTATTTCAGCATCTTTCAAAAAATACTTCTAGAATTCAAAATTTCAAAAAATCATTAAAAAACCCGTAAGAAATGATGTTGTTCTTAACCTGACTCTACAAGCCTGCTGGAACGGAAAGTGGTAAACCGTTGTCAAGCCAGTCTTCACTTCCACACACAGTCACCAGTCTGTTCAAGATTTGTATTTCTTTAAACTTTGAATAGTGTGTTTCATCTAATCAATTACCAAAATTTACCCAATTGTTGTTAATGATCGCTTTATGATTGTTATAATTCTTCTATTTGTATCAGAAAATGGAATATGGAACCAAACAATTACAAAGGTGACGAGGCATGCGCAGTGGCTATTAAATCAGGATCATTTAATGACGTCAATTGTCTTATAAAGGCGGGATTTATTTGTGAATTGAACACGGAAGGTAATATTATAAAGTTATGATGAGAATAAGTAATAAATACGTCCAGTCAGTCTGTAAATCGACCTCAAACAAATTGCAACATATTTGTTTGCCTGCTATAGAAAGCATATGGAATGAAATGAATAAAAAAATCTAAGTTGCGCAACATAGAAAAAAACTGAACATTGTTTTTTTATCGTGGTATTTTTGTGATTTTTTCTGACGGTGACGACCTTCCATACGGAAACAAAGCGTCTCCGATACTTAGAATAGCGTCTGCATAATGGCGACAACAACAACAAAATAAGTGTAAACAAATTAAATGTGAGTAAAATACACTGTAAAGTGGCTAAAAATAAAACAGATCATAATAGGAATTATTTATTTGAGGTCGTAACGTTTATTATCTGTATTTGTTGAAAAATATTACTTTTTATGCCACCTTGTCCGTCCGTCCATCCGTCTGTCCTTCTGTCCGTCTGTGCGTCCGGAGCATAACTTGAAAATCCTTGGAGATAATTTGTTTAAACTCCATACAGTGGTATAGGGCATTGAGAGGGAGTGCAGTGTCACAGAACCATACCTCCATTTTGCCCTGTTTTTGAATTATCTCCCTTTTAGAAAAATATTGTCTGGGACATAACTCTAAAACTATTAAAAATATCAACATGAAACTTTGTAGGTAAATAGATCTTAATGGGTAAATGTGCAGTGCACAAGAACCATAACTCTTTTTTGCCTAATTTTGGAGTAATTGCCCTTTTTATCCCCCGCCGAAAAGGCGGCGGGGGATAAAGAAATAGTCTCCGTCCGTCCGTCCGTCCGACCTTCCGTCCTTCCGTTCGTCCTTCCGTCCGACATTTTTGTCCGGAGCATATCTCTAAAAGAATTTAAGTTATCAACTTGAAACTTCATAAATGGATAGACCTTATTGAGGAGGAGTGCAGTGCACAATAATAATAACTCTACCCTGCATAATTTTTGAGTTATTGCCCTTTGTTATTTTTCAAAATTGATTTTTGTCCAGACCATAACTCCAAAAGCCTATGAGATATCAACATGAAACTTCATAGGTGCATAGATCTCACTCAGGAGGTGTGCAGTGCACAAGAATGATAACTCTACCTTTAATAATTTTTGAGTTATTGCCCTTTGTTATTTTTCTTACTTAATTTTTCACCTGAGTGAAGCATAACTCAAAAAGTGTTTGAGATATCAACATGAAATGTCATAGGTGGATAGATCTTATTGAGGAGGAATGTTGTGCGCAAGAATGATAACTCTTCCCTATACAATTTTTGAGTTATTGCCCTTTGTTTTTTTTCATGCTATTTTGTCCAGAGTTTATCTCAAAAAGTATTTGAGGTATCGACTTGAAACTTCATAGGTGGATGGATCTCATTAAGGAGGAGTGCAGTGCACAAGAACGATAACTCTATCCAGCATAATTGTTTAGTTATTGCCCTTTTTTATTTTTCAAAATTAATTTTTGTCCAGAGCATAACTCAAAAGGCCTTTGAGATATCATTATGAAACTTCATAGGTGCATAGATCTAATTCAGGAGGTGTGCAGTGCACAAGAATGATAACTCTACCTTTTATAATTTTTGAGTTATTGCCCTTTGTTATTGAATGAGCAAACACATTCGGCGGGGGATGGCCATGTTGACATGGCTCTTGTTTTAATTTTAACACTTTGAACTTTGTCCGGAACATAACTCTAAGACTATAAGAGATATCAACATGAAATATTGTAAGTAGATAGATCTCATTAAGTAGAAGTGCAATGCAAAAGAACCATAACTCTGTTAAGCCTCATTTTTGAATTATCTCCCCTTTTGGAAAAATCTTGTCCAGGACATAGCTGTAAAATTATAAGAGATATCACCATGAAACTTTGTAGGTAGATATATCTCAATGGCCTTGCCTAATTTTGGAATTATTGCACTTTGAATTTTTTCCAGGGACATAACTCTGAAACTACAAGAGGTGTACTTTCTTGTGTCCAAACCCTATTCGGGGAGCATCACCCGGCTCAAACCGGGCTCTTGTTTTTACAAGTTCTTTATCCGTTGAAGGTCAACCTGTATTTCAAGCGGTCTGTATTATAATATTCACGGAAAACAGTTTAACTCATCTAAATTTCTCCTGCGATTAACCCCTGTTTTAGTAAAACGTTCGAAAACGTCTTTACCATTTTAAGTTGTATAGTGATGGAAAACCTGTTAAAGACTAGAGAATTGAGGAGGGGGAAGTTAAGATATTATCTTGGAATGTTAATGGTCTTTTTAAAGCTAAAATTGAATGGAACGAATTTGTGAATAGTATTGCTGAAAATGACATTGTATTTTTGTATGAGTCGTGGGCCTCTTCCAATAGCAACATTGAACTTTCGGGCAATTTTTGTCACAACTTTTATAGAACTTTTCAACATAGACTGGATCATAATTACTTCAAGACTGCTAGTGACATTAACATATGTGGAATTTATTTATTGACCGATGGCTCTCCTGTATACAATATAGTTATTAACCTATAGCTCTTCAGCGCTTCTTATGTAAAATTCTTCCAAGTATAATTTCCAAAAACCGTAAATTATACCATACCCAGACTATGGTATAATTTTCAGTTTTGAAGATCGAAGGAGTAAGTTTTTCTGGGCGGAGCTATAGGTTAAAACAGATATACACCATTGGTGCGTTGACGATTTCTGGGTTTGCGTAAATTATACCATAATCACGTGACCTTTCTTATGCAATCTCACTCGACTTCGTCTCGTGAGGTCAAGGCATAAGAAAGGTCACGTGATTATGGTATAATTTACGCAAACCCAGAAATCGTCAACGCACCAATGGTATATCTATTACATGTAGATTTGTTTTTTATTTACTTGAGATTACAATAATCCAGATTACAATAATCTGGGCAATGTATATGTATGCGGCGAATTTAATAGTAGAGTCGGACTTAAACCGGATTTTATTACTCATGATAATGTAAACACAATTTTGATGATCAAAATTATATACCAGAAGAATTGTTAACGGCAGATTAGGCGACGATCAAGGTTTATTCACTTACATTTCCCGTAATGGCGCGTCGGTGGTAGATTATTTACTATGTAATAGTTTATGTTTTACCGTTAATTTGATGAATGAATGTCCAAGTGATCACGCCCAATCAGATTTTCACTTTTTTGTAAAAATATAAGTGACCATGAAGTTGGTAAGTATACCTCGAAATATAAATGGACACCGTTACATGTCTAACAAGAATTTGTAACAGAGTTACCAACGTCCCCCGCCTCGGGAAGTTTTATATGAAACATTAAATTGTGCTATTTCAAAAGATTTCAGTCCAAAATTATGATCAATGCTAGATCTACAAATGCAACAATAAATTTATTAAAGAATTAAAATGAAACATGGAATTTAAAAATCTATCATGTTAACCTTTGACCTCTTAGTCTGACCTTGACCTTGGAGGTAGGGGTGCAGGTGTTGTGCATGACATATTGTCTTATTATTGTAGATATTTGTGCCAAATATTTTCAAAATTCCTTGAACTATTAAGAAGTTATAGATTGGGCACAAAATATACCCTATAACAGACTATGTTAATCTTTGACCTCTAAGTGTGACCTTGGAGGTAGGGACCCATATTTTGCGCCTGACATATCGTCTTATTATTGTGATTATTTGTGCAAAGTATTTTTAAAATCCCTTTAACTATGAAAAAGTTATGGACTGGACACAAAATATACCCTATAACAGACTATGTAAATCTTTGTTTGTTTGTTTGTTTGTTTGTTTGTTTCATTTTACGCCTTTTTCCAACAGTATTTCAGTCATATAGGCGGGTAGTTTCCTAACCATCAATGTAAATCTTTGATCTCTAGACCGCTTCCGTGGTCGATGGGTTAGAGTCGATGACTTCTAATCCAGTCACCTCTCTGGCGTGGGTTCGATTCCCGGGAGATGCTTTGGTAGTTTAGCGCGGAGGAAGGTAGTCTAGTACTGGTGTAACTCTCCAGGAACGATGGTTAGGAAACTACCCGCCTATATGACTGAAATACTGTTGGAAAAAGGCGTAAAATGAAACAAACAAACAAACAAACTTTGATCTCTAAGTGTGACCTTGGATGTAGGGACACAGGTGTTATGCATGACAATCATCTTATCATTGTAATTATTTATGCCAAGTATTTTCAAAAGCCCTTGATCAATGAAAAAGTTATAGACGGGGCACAAAATATACCATATAACAGACTTTGTTAACATTTGACCTCTAAGTGTGACCTTGACCTTGGATGTAGGGCTGCAAGTGTTGGACTTGACATATCATCTTATTACTGTGACTATATGTGCCAAGTTATTTCAAAATCTCTTGAACTATGAAGAAGTTCTAGATCGGACACAAGATATACCCTATAACAGACTATGTTATTTTTTTTTCTCTAAGTGTGACCTTGACCTTGGAGGTAGGGATGCAGGTGTTGCGCATGGCACATTGTCTTATTATAGTGACTATTTGTGCCAAGTATTTTCAAAATCCTTTGATCTTTTAAAAAGTTATGGACCGGACACAAAATATACCCTGTAAGAGACTATGTTAATCTTAGACCTCCAAGTGTGACCTTGACCTTGGAGATAGGTGACCGGTT